CTTGCTAGTTACACCCTTCGGATTGTTCGAGTTTCCCTTCATGAGCTTCCGCCTGCGGAACACTAGACAAACCTTCCAGTGCTTCATAGACGAAGTCGTCCACGGCCTCGACTTGTGCTTGGCTTATCTTCATGACATACTGGTATTTTCTCGCGACGCTGAAGTGCACCACAGGCCCCTTCGTCTGCTGTTCCAATGCCTCGACGACCACGGCCTACTCGTCGACATCCGAAAAAGCACGCTAGGCGCTTCCGTCGTCTGCTTCTTTGGGCACGAAGTTTCATCTGAGGGAACTCGACCCTTGCCCCAACTTGTCTCTGACCTACAAAATTACCCTCGACCCAGTACTGTTGAAGACCGATGTTTCTTCGGCAAGCTGAATTTCTACAGAGAGTTTTTGCCACACGCAGCAGAACACCAGGCTCACCTCCACGATGGCTTGACTGGGATACGAGAAAACCAACCTGTGACGTGGACACCTACGTTAGGGAAAACATTTCAAGAATGCAAAGCTTCCCTCTGCACCGCCACGCTTCTCACTCATACCGTGCCAGACACTCTCTTGGGGCTCTTCACAGACGCATCTAGCTTCGCCATCGGCCCCGCCCTCATGCAGCGCGTGGACCACACCTGGCATCCCTTGGCCTATTTCTCGAAAAAAACTCGCTACTCCGAAAACGACCTCCTAAGCCGCCAGTTCCAGTTCCACTGATGAAAACACGACCGCCGCCCCAACCAATTTGCCAGCCTACTACAGTGAAATCTCGGCATAACGAACTTCACGGGACCGTGAGAATTTGTTCGTTATTTTGAAAGGTCGTTATAGTGAAAGCTAAAAAATTAACCATACATACTTATTTTTCACCGACCAAGACGACTTACCTTTACAACAGTAGGTCCTTGAACTCGTTTTTCACAAGAAAAGAACTCGTTTTTCACAACTCGCTTTCGGACGCGATAAGTAATCACCGAAAAGAGATGAACACGACTGAAAAAACAAGGCCTTCAAGGAAAAACCCGAAGCGTCACGGATGTCATCGCCTTTTTCGGAGAAAAAAAAGTGCTAAAAAAAATTCCTCTCGTTTCGTTTTTTGCTCTCTCGCTGTCTCAGGTTTTCCGCACCCATGCTTTCTGCTCCACAACTCCCACTCTGCCTTGCTGAGCTTGCCCTCCCGTGTCGCCCTCGCCTCGGCACTCGCTTGTAAATGTGCAGCGTCCGCGTTTCAACAAAAATTGATTGATTGATATGTGGGGTTTAACGTCCCAAAACCACCATATGATTATGAGAGATGCCGTAGTGGAGAACTCCAGAAATTTCGACCACCTGGGCTTCTTTAACGAGCACCTAAATCTGAGCACACGAGCCTACATCATTTCCGCCTCCATCGGAAATGCAGCCGCCGCAGCCGGGATCCGAACCTGCGACCTGCGGGTCAGCATCCAAGTGCCTTAGCCACTAGACCACCGCGGCAGGGCGTTTCAACAAAATGAAAGAAAAGAAAGTCGCCCTTCCATTTTTTTTTTTCCTCCACATCGTCATGCTTCTTCTGAGAAGCAAGGCATCAATTCGCTTTGTCGTCTGCTTGCGTACCGCTCTAGTGGTTGCGACGGATTTCAGAACATAAGTTCGTAGTACTAAGGCTTTAATATAACGCGGAACTAAATTAATGCTCGATATTCTGAAAAGTTTGGTATTTTGAGGGATGCAGTAGTGAAATAATTTTACATTGAAACTATTAGCAGTCGGTGCAGGATTTTTTAAAAGTTTGTTAACCTGAAAAGTTCATTATTGTGGGGTTCGTTCTACCAAGATTTCACTGTACAGAGAACTTCTGGCTATATACGAAGCAGTTCCAACACTTTCGCCATATTCTCGAAGCACAGAACTGCACCATCTATGCCGACCACAAGCCTCTTATTTACACCTTCTCTCAACGTCGCGACAAACTCCCGCCTGTTCAGTAGAACCAACTCTCATTCATCGCACAATTCACCACCGACATCCAACATGTCAGCGGCAAAGACGCGGTCGCCGACGCGCTATCACGTGTAGTCACCATTACCTCAGTGCAGATAACAGCGGACGTCATCGCCGAGGCTCATACCACTCACGCCGAACTGCAGGAACTTCGCAAGGGCATATCCTCACTTCACCTACAAGAAGTCTCCATTCCAGGGTCGACAACCACAATCTATTGCGACCCGTCAACAGGACGAAGCAGGCTCTATGTGCTGCTGTCCCATCCCCGTGGTTTTTTTGACCAGCTGCACAACCTCAGCCATCCAGGCATATGAGCCTCTACACGCCTCGTGGCTGACCGCTATATGTGGCCTTCCATGCAGCGGGATCGTCACACCTGGGCGCGCTCTTGCATTCACTGTCAACGCACCAAAATCACCAGGCCTGTCACGACCCCACTCGGAACATTCCTTCAGCCCTCTGATAGGTTCAAGGATGTTCCCCTCGACATCATAGGGCCCTTTCCCCCAACTGGACCCTATCGCTGCTGCCTCACCGCTATCGACTGGTACACTCGATGGTCCGAGGCACGGCCCTTCGAAGGAATCGCTGCGGAAGACGTGGCCTCGGCTTTCTTCACCAACTGGATTACTCATTTCGGCGCCCCCTGCCATGTAACCACTGACCAAGAATGACAGTTTGAGTCGCACCTCTTCAGGCTTCTCAAACTGACTATTGGTTTTGAACGCTTAAGGTCCACTAGTTACCACCCCTGGGCCAGCATAACGATCGAGCATTTTCATTTACAGTTCAAGGCAGCCATGAGGTGCCACCCGGAATCAACCTGGCTCGAGGCCATCCCGGCTGTCAATCTCAATCTTCACATTACCTTCAAGCCAGACTTCCACGCTGCACCAGCAGAGCTCGTCTACAGAGAACCACTCCATCTCCCAGATGAATTTCTCGCAGCTCTGCCATCCAGCACTATGACGTCAGGCCTCAATGACTTCGTCGCCCGGCTCCGACGCACTATTGCCGCCTTACCCCCATCGCCTGCCGCCCATCGCAGTAAGCCTACACCTTTTGTGTTCAAAGAGCACGCTTTCCTCCGTGATGACACCTTGCGCCGGCCCTTCTAGCCACCCTATAGCGGGCCCTGCCTGGCAGTACATCGTGACGACAAGAACTTCTTTCTGCGCCTGAACGGGAATGACATCCACGTCTCGATTGACTGACTCAAGCTCGCATACATCACTGCGCCACAAACCGGGCAGTGCCACTCCTCCCTTAGGCATCTTTCCACAGCCACCAATGTCACAGGCCCTTACTTTCACGACATGATCAAGATGTCTGGTACACCTCCCAAATTTTTCGGGGGGTGATATGGTGACCACTGCGCACAGTCCTGCGCAGCCTCCACCTCACCACTGATTAGCCTAGCGTGACACGGCCCCCTACTGGAACAGGCTTCTGATAAAATACAGCACCGAAGACTTAAATAACCACTGCGCCTATAAAACCCAAGCTGCCAAGCTCAGTGCTCACTTCGCTTATCCAACCTCCGAAGACAGCGTTAGCACGCTTGCATCGCTGCTGCTACCCAGTTAATAAACGTTCTCACGTTTTATGTTGGGGATGCCTCCTCCTTTCGACACGGCATCCCGTGTCGGAGCATGGTTCAATCACTGAAAGCAATCTCGTAAAGTACGCTTGCATGTTTCACAATAAGCTTGAAAAGCCGAGGTTGTTATGTATGCAAAATTAAAGGTGTTCTGCATTCAGGTATTTCACTACTGCGTATATGTTTTTGTTCATTCAAATGCTATAGAAAAAATATAATGGGACTCTTGTGCCTTGATTTTTGAGTGTCCAGGCATGAATTCATCTAAGATTTTTGGGTTTTGAGAATAATGCAAAATTTTGAACTCCTATAAAAGCTGAATTTTCACACACACACACACACACACATATATATATATTGTTACACAAGGCAAACTAAATTAATGGTGGTTTTTAATGGGCCCTGAGTCCGCAATCACAGTATAATGATGATGATCTCCACCGCCATGGCTCGTACCCACTCAGAGGGATCGCAGGGGAGGCAACGTCGTCTTCATTCTCTACCCGCGTTTCCCTTGTTTTTCCTGGTAGTGACACTTCTTATCAATATATATATATATACACATGTTGTACAAATGCCACTTTTTTTGGTTAAAAGCAAGAGGAAGGAGAACCAACTTTGAATAATAGCAGGATTTAGTAGAATGCAAATTATAACCTGTAAGATATGTTACATTTTAATATTTACCGTACTTCGAGCAAATAATCTGTTATTACAAGCTTTTAAAGGTCAAGCATGATGAGATGATCAGAGAGTGATATTTTCATTGAACCTTGAAGTCTGGCTTCTTGGCCATGTGGATTTTCAATAAATAGATATTTTCATGGCTTAGCACCCTTTCACTGCAGTGAAACCATGTTTACAGAAAGTTGCTTGCAAACTAATGTGCACTTGACTGAGTGCTTTCACAGTTTAGCATCCCTTCACTGCAGTGAAATCACCTTTATAGAGGTTACACGTGGATTAATAAGCATTTATTCGTTCATTTCGACTACTTCAAAATATTCAATCATTTAAATTCAAATCGGAACGAGTTTGAATATTCGAAGCATTTGGATATTCACACAAGCCTAATTTGTTTTCTTCAATTAATTGCATGCACTATCATGTACAAGAACAATGTATGCTCTCTTTTTGTTTATGCATGTGTGCTAGTTCTTGTATGATGTCAGTGCTTGGCGCTACCAAACTGTATTCAACTAGGAAGCTTAATCAGCTTAATCAACTAGGAAGCTTAATGTCTTCCAGGGCTCTCTAGTTCCTTAAGTGCTAAAACAATTGACTGACTGATTGATTGATTGCAGTCGCCGATGGGTGAAGTGTCCCACCGGAGGATTTTACTCTGCTAGCAATACAATCAAGCTGCAAACTGGGAGACAATGTAATTTATTAACTAGACTTGCCAATGGAACCACTCACTGGTTGAGCATGGCTCGTCCCCTCGACCGCGTGGAGGGCGCAGGGTGGCCGGCACGTCTCTGTGTCCATGCAGACGGCCTCCTTCCTCGTACATGATGACGCGCAGGTGGTCACGACGGCCCACATTACCTTCCACTGCTTCCCGGTGCCGCACCACCCTGCAGGGTATTGGATTGAAAGCTTTAGCCACCACTGGCTCGGCTACACTCAGGTGAAACATTACAAAGCAGGCACCATTTAGGTAACTACGGTAGACTCTTAATAAACTCAAATCTCTTAAATAGAACTGGGGCTTAAAGGCCAACTGCATCGAAATTTGGCTTGGGCAGAATAGGCTCGGAATGCGTAGCATAGGTTGGGAAACAATCATAGTGACAGTGAAAAAGCTTGCAATCGTTGTTACCTTTGCAATCAGTGCTCTAATTGTTCTTTAGCAAACGATGTGGAGCTTTAGCGGTGTGCTCAAGCTAATGGGACACAAACAGACATGACGTCAATTGCAGCTCACCACAGCTTGCGAGCAAAACTTCCTGCAGCCGCATCAGTTCCTTTTCGGCATGACGCCACTCTACGGGCAGATAATTCAGAGGAGTTACCTTTTTGGCTGTACAACATGCAGCGCCACAGACTCCTGGAACATACATCATGGCTGGGACCAGCTTTCATGCTTTTCAGAAAAACTTGAAGCTCGAAAAGCTGCAGGTTGTTGGATTTCCGGGCGAAAGGAATGGGAGACATTAAAGAGTGTGGTGCTTTACGCAGCACACTTCAAAAATGACCAATATAAACAGGAGCAGTGTCTCTCCACCGAAATACTGTAGAAACTGAAAAGAATGCTGAATTCTGACGCAGTGCCTTCAGTATTCAATTACAGCAAATACAACAGCGGAAGCCTGACAGGCATCATAAGCTTTCTGACGAATTATGTTTAAAGAATCGCCGACGAGGACATGAATTCATAGTTGGACAGCTTTATTACAGCATAACTTCTTTGCATTAGCGTGTTTCGCGGGCTAAATTATAGCATAACGCCATTCCAAAAACAAAACCAGGAAAACGACGACCCGCAAAGTGCTAGAGAAGCTGTGCCATCTATGATCGCAAGATAAAAGCTCCAAAAGCAGGTCAGCTTGCTTCTACTTGAGAGTAGTCAAGGCAGCGAAGTTTAACAGAAATGTTCCGTGCTTGGTTGAAAGCAATTTAGGCTCATGACCGTATTATAAGAAACGTGATTGTGCTACGTTAGCTTTAATGTAAATGTTTTGGGCGCATTCAGAGAAGTACTTACAGAAATGCAGGGATGCTTTTGGTAGACATGGGAGTGTTCCAAACCGAGCATCAGTATTGAAAACAACACTGTGTTATCATCCGTAGTTATTAAACCATTTAGAACATCTTCAGCACATCAGCGAGCGGCATCATTTATTGTGAACCAGCGAGTTTGCCAACACAGCAGGACAAGACGGTAGGCGCGAAGCGGGCAGCCGTTACTTGGATACGCACTTTAAAAAGCCTTTATGATCATTTATCCTTCTCGGTGCATGTTTACATTGTTTGCATTTTCATTGCCATTTGAAGAGAAAGCACAGGGGCGCAACCGCAAAGAGCATACTTCGAAGCGCAGAGCAGACGCTTCGCCTGCACCAGTTGTTCTGTCGAGCTGCTGTTTTCCTCACTTCCGGTCAGCTGTAATGGCATCATTTTTTCTGGTTTCAATATCAAAAATTGCATTGTTGGCATGTTTTTTCTTGGCTGCATTTCAAAGGTGCATTTCGAAGGTAAAATTTGGCAGGCAGCACTGTCTTCAGCTAGACTGTTTATAAATCAGTTTTTTGGGGTGTGCACCATTTCGCTGCAGTTGGCCTTTAAAGGAACACTAAAAAAAAGCAATGATTTGGTTTAGATTGACAAACTGCACTCTGAGAATACTAATGTCACATGTTTCTCTATAATAAGTTAATTATAAGTGAAGAAAATGAAGCTTGAAGTTTCATATTTCAATTCGGCCCAAAAACTTAGCGCGAGACGTCAAAAGCTTCAAATATGTATTTTTGCTATTTTTGTGGCATTGGCTCAATTAAACTTCCTGAAACTTCATATGCCAAGCCTATGGCACCCCATAGATGAGAATATACTTCATTTTTATTGATAAGAAGCTATACAGGACCCAGAAGGCACCTTCAAAATGTATTACGCCATGGTGTTTGGTGCAGACATTTTAAGGTGGCATCCCACCCGCAGTTTCTTTTCGTATGCTTTCTCGCTTACTAAGCATCATGTTGTGGTAAGAGCGGTATTTTCGGGAATGGGAAATTGTGCTTTACTAAGACACAAAAATCATTTTGCTCTTTAGTGTCCGATTATTAGAACAAAAATCTTAACTAAATGTGTGGAGAGAGCTAGGCTTCTTCGTTGCACACTGTTGGAAAACAGCCGAAGCAGTGGTGTCCTGTGATTTTTGACACTGCTTTATAATCACGCCTGAATACTTACTGCAATTCTGTTCATCTCTTAACAAATGGAACTCCTGCAACATGAAACATAATTTCTGGTTCCTTTCATGTTCTATTTACTGTATTTTTTTAAGAGTTCGCAAACACAGCTCAGTTACAATGAGCCTAAAGCTTATCACCAAAGTGGGGTCCTTGCCCCATTCCAATAATGTAATTACAACGGCCTCCATCCAGAACAATATCACACTGCAAAGAAAAAGCAATCACACTTTTGCCACTGCAACGCATAAAATGAGAATCTCATACTAAGTATGGCAAGCAGAAGCTTATGTGCTGCCTTTGTTTGTGACATATTCACAGTCGAATGCTTGAGCACGCAAAAGGGCACAATGCATCTATTTTCACCTTGCAAAATTATTTTCTCTTCATATCAACATTCATAATTCATCATTCAGGCAGGTTATCTGTAATTACACTTCACAAGGCTACAAGTTTCAATGTGCACAGCTCAGCCATGCACGAAGGTATATTACACAAACTTGTGGTCGGTGGCCATTACGCAATGTTGGCGACACGGTGTCCGGCTCTAGTGACAGAATGCTGTTAGCAACGCTGTTTCAGTTGTTGCACTTTCGCATACAGAAAATTTTCAGACTATCAGGAGATAAACGCACGTTGCATTCTATTTATTAAAGTTGAGAATCAAGATTCCATCAGACCTCCTACAACTAAGTGATGCTGTCATTGGCAAGAATATTTTAATCTGCCTTCCCTGGAGCTCTGGCCATGGGCTTATTCAGGCAGTCTGTACTGAATTTTTTCGCAAGGCTGAGTGTCACTGCCTATATTCTTAGTTTTTAGATCATGGAGCTTACTCAGACTTACTGGTGAAATATATTTAGAGCTTTAGGCTCACTCAGAAAAATTTTCCTGAGCCGGACTCGCTCAAACCCAGACGCACAAAAATTTTCTTCAGTCAGACTTGCTAGCACTCAAACTTATCAAAACATTACTCACCCGGACTCACTCAGGCTCATGACTCACGGCTCGATATGAGCCTGAGTGAGTCCAAGTGAGTCGATTGACGAGTCCGTTAGGCTAAAATTGCCGTCTTCGACCATGGTGTCAATGCTCTTCAACACAAATCTCTCACGTAATCGATGCTTTTCCTGGTGCCATTTGAGATAATACAGGGGTGGAAGCGGGCTTCAGTCTTTCAGAGTTGCTTTGGGAGTAGGAATAATACGGTTTTAGAGCAGCTCTGAAGCACAAAAAAGCGTGTTTTGAAGCATCAAAATTTAGTTAAGGCCACCCTGAGCCACCGACTCAAGGTGGCCTTAACGAATGCTTATTCGTTTATATATGAAATGGCCAGCAGCCCAACATGCGACAAGTGTTGCTGCGAGGGGACAATCAACCATCTCCTTGATGAGTGCAGTCGCTTCAGTGTGCCAAGAAAAGAGCTTACAAAAGTGCTAAATAAACTGGAGAATCGCCCATAGTCTCAGTACAAGGTCTTGAGACATTGGCCGAGACCGTCCTCAGCATTGCCCTCCGAGAGTTGTTGCACTTCTTGCGGGCAGCTTGTCTCTGAGACCGGCTCTAAGCAGAGTCTGTCATTTATCATATTGTTGTCCAGCTTTTTTTCGTTCTATTTTTTTATTATCTCTTTTTTGTCATATTTCACTCCCCTCACCGCCTTCCACACCACAGAGTAGCCAGAGCCGGTCTGAGAGCCTCCCTGTCCCTTTTCTCTCCTCCTGCCCCTTGATATTGCAGACTTCAGATGAAATGGACTCATTTTGCTGGATTATCACGGTTTGTTGTAGCCAGAGCAGACTGTACAGCAGAAGATGGCAGATGACGTGGCACAAAATTGGGCACCTTGCAAAATGCTCACTGGAGTGTGCATGGCACACTGGCTTGAGAAACACGAAAAAGACAACCAGCTCCTGCATTTTTTTTGTGCTTTTTTTTTCTGGGTAGTCTATGTGCTCTGCCAGTTTGTTACACCAGCTGGTGGTGCTCTGCAAAGGTAGACTTAACAATCCATCCCGTAGATTTTAAGTGTGAAGAAGAAGCAGACAATGCTTTTTTAAAGCAGAAGTGTTTCCCAAAATAGGAGGACCATATAAATGAGACGTTATTAGCAAAGAGCATGGAGCGTCACACTTGACTGTAAAAGAATAAAAGCCAGAGCTGTAAAAGAGAGATCCTTAGCACGAGTCACAGCTTGTCCCATCAAGAAAAATAACTGCAGCTAGGAGACACTGACCTGGTCTAAGCATGTTACATTCAAGAATATGCCCGCTTTGGCACCACACTGCAAGAGAAAGCACGACAGCTTTTTGCAATGAATGACTTTGCGGTGTCTTTTAGCTATTGACACAGCATAATCCAGCAGGAAAGTATTGTCAAAGAAGCAGCAACCATGTGGTGGGGAAAGGTGCACTGTGGTTGTCGTCTCCAGGCCTGCTTCTCTTTCGAACACTGTTCTCTGCTCTTGTCACACACTGAGAAGGGCTTTGTGACGGGGAAGAGCCATGAAAAAAAAATATACTGGTGCTGGGTAAATGCATCGCCTGAATTCGGTTATTTCGAAATTTCACCCAATGTGAAGAATTTTTGCAGTTCCCCATTTTGTCATGCAAGGAAGGTTGACTGAATAATTCAAAATGACAGCCTATTCAGCTTCAAAGATTTTG